AAAAAAAAAAAAAGAAAAAGAAAGCTATAAATTGGCTTCATAGTAAGACTGAGCACATTGGATACTTTTTCTTCCATTCTTGAGAATATAAACAACAGTAATACAGACAATTCTATGCCCAGTGTTCCTCTATCTCTAAACACCAAGTATTCTCCTTTTTTTTCTTTTTGGCTATAGTTTTCTTTTTCATTTTCATCATAGAAAACAAAGCACCTGAAACAGCCAACAAGAATGAAATTATACTGTACACATATGATAACATATTTTACAGCCATTACAATTACTTCAAGCAATTTTAACGAGAATGTCCTATTCCTTAACATTGTGAAAAGAGAATGATATCCATTCAGCAGGACCTCACCTATCTATAAATATACATAACAAGAGGAAGATACACCAGCCCACTGACAGGAACGATGTTGGGTGGTAGGTTTTCTGAATTACTTTAATTTTTCCTCTCACTTTTCTGTGTTTCTTAAGTTTTCAATAGACAGCATATCTTTACTCTTCTGAGAAATTTTTATTCAGAACCTACTAAGTACCAAACAACAATAGATACTGGGTAATCATTGTTTTTGTACTCAGAAAAATCACCAACACATATACATTTAAAAAACAAAAGAAACGAATCATTTCTGGAATTTTAGTATGCCTGAAATGTTCCAAAGCCTATGAACTCTGTGATTTCTATATTCAAAGAAGTTGTCTTTTCAGCTGGGAAAACAATGAAAAGAGAAGTGGAAATGATGGGAATTTCTTCCTGACTTGAATTTGCATGCCAGGAGCAGGAAGAGCTGCTCGGAATGGTCAGGTGTGAGGAAGTAGAGGCAAGAGTTTGACCAGTGCCCTTCATCCACACCTTTCCCATTTTACTCTGGTCACCAGCCATTTCCTCTGCTTTTTCTTGTTCTGAAATGCATATGCTACCGCACAAAGCCTCCAGACGGCCACACTCTGAGCAAGAAGGCCCTGCGGTCATAACTCAACTTTGGTCTCCGAAAGCAAAAGGTTAACTTCTCCCCAAAAAAGCACGCCTGCATCTGCATTGCAAGAGAGGAATTTCACTTCCTCCAAAAAGGGGTGAGAGGGAAGTCCCACGTCTGCATTCTTTCTCATTTTGAGCATGTGCTACCTCTGACACCATCTCCGGTAAAGCTAAGCCACACCATGACTCATGCCTGAGGTTCTGTTCTGTGTGGGCTTGGAACCAGTCCAGGTGTTTGCTCCTTCTGGATTTCACCTGCTGAAAATGGGGAGCAAAGTTGGTTAGCATTTGCTGAGACCCTTCCCTTTCTTATTTTTAGTGGGAATTCAGGAGACCAGTCTGAAAAACAGACAGTCAAATAATCATTGAACAGATCAGAGAACTATGACTTTCATGGATTTTAGAATAAACTTTGTTCCAGAAACTCTAGAAGGTATGTGAACAAAGTGAAAATATTTTCTTCTCTGAACAGTAATTCCTAACTGCTTTAAGAGTTGTTATGTCAGCTCTTTTCAGCCAGAGGATGTTCTTCCCACCAGGATTGTTTGGGTACTGACCACAAAAATAAAAATAGGTGGCTTCAAAGTTCTTCTTAGTCTGGAGGATAAAAACGGAAGGCTATGTTCTGAAATTCTGCATATTCCCATTAAAAGCCAGGCCAGAATCTGGCGACGTGAGCCATTTGATTTCTTTTCTCTATTAGCTTAGCACTCTTTCCCATCCTCTCTTCCTCCCACATTCTTTGATTCTTTTTATTCTCATCGATTATTCCCTTTCAGCTCTTTTTCCCCCTTTGCCATTTGCTGATTTAGATTTGGAGGACAAATGTCCGATTTAAGATGGTACTTCCCCTGCACTAAATAGGAACTGGGTGTGGTGGTGTGTACCTGCAGTCCTAGCTATGGGGTGGCGGCGAGGTGGAGGATTGCTTGAGCCCAGGCCTGGGCAACACAGTGATGCCTTGTCTTTAGAAAAAAGTATTGAAAACTTAAAAATAAAGAAGAAGGACACCACCTTCAGGGTTCCACTCAACCTATTCCTTGTCATGGTGGACACCACTAGGCAGTCACACTTGATTTCCACTGACCTCTGGGATATTCCAGGACATTTTAATGGAAGCCTATTACATAAATTCCTTAAATAAATACTTACTAATCATCTTTTATTGGTCGGACACCCATTTTAGATGCCATTTTTTGGAGACAATACCAAAGTTAACTCTATTTTAAGAGTCTAGGGGGGATTCTGGGAAGATGGCTGACTGGTAGCAACCCTGGTCAGAGGCTCCTGAGCAAAGGAAGAAAAACTGGTTGGAATCAGAATCTATGAAGCCAAAGACGGGGAGCTGAGCCCAGAAAGAAGTTCG